ACTAAACGAAAAATTGAAGTCTTTTAATAACATCCACATAGAAATTTTTTAAACGGACGGTTCAGTTTCGGAGAATTTTACAGGTTATGTATTTGTTTATTCAAATTCAAATACTGTTGATAGTTTCTGTAGTAATAAAAATCTGTCGTCTATGACCGCTGAACTTTTAGCCTTGGAAAAAGCACTTGGTTTTGCAATTTCCAACTGCTTTCCGAAGATAGCCATACTGACGTATAGCCTTGGCGCTTTTCAAACTCTACAAAAAAACTGCTCCAGCAATTATATTGCCCAGGAAATATTCTCCAAAATAGAAAATTGTCCTATGCTTTCAAAGGTTGTAGTTCACCACATACCCAGCCATGAAAATATTTTGGGAAAACGAAATTGCTGATAGAGCACGCTTCTATACATGGCTCCTTCAAATATGTTAGATGGAAATTGAATGATGTGATCAACTATATATTTCATAATATTCAAGATGATTGGGAAAGAGACTATAACGTATTCTCTATAGACCGTAATAAAGGTAATTCAAACTTTAGGCCTTTCATCACAAAGAAACCTTGGTTTTATAAAACGGATATTTTCGCCATTTCCAACAATTTTTAAAAATAATGATTAAAAAAATATTTATCGCTTCTTTGCAAATGAACCAATCGACAACTACAAATCGATACCGTTCTTCTTAAAGCAAGCCATAATTAATGTACACAAATAATTGTCTTTAAAACAAGCCCAATTTTTAGATCGCCTGAAATAATATTTCATACATTGGCTGTGGCCGTAACCCGTTCAAACAGGGAGGCCAAATAATTCTTCCAGGAAGTAACATTATATATAAACAAGAAAGGAAAGCTTACTTCGGGCGGAGCCGAAGTTTATATACCCTTGCAGTTAAAACCGTATATATATCGCAAGCATCGGATATAGTTGGCCGATCCTTATGGGAATATATAATCCAATTTATTACAATACAAAATCTAAAAAAGTCCCAAACTTCTATTTTCAAAAATACGAAAGTTGATATTTCTACCAAATACCATTTCCGATCGTTCAGTTTTATGGCAGCTATAGGATATAGTCGGCCGATCCGGGCCGTTCCGACTTATATACTGCGTGCAAAGAAAAGAAGGGTGTGTGCAAAGTTTCAAGACGAAACTGAAACTGAGTGACTAGTTTGCGTAGAAACAGACAGAAGACGGACAGACGGACATGCTCATATCAACTCAGGAGGTGATCCTGATCAAGAATATGTATACTTTATAGGGTCGGAGATGTCTCCTTCACTACGTTGCACACTTTTGACCAAAATTATAATACCCTCTGCAAGGATATAAAAACATAAATTTGTTACGGTTTTTGAAATCGTATGTTGGAATCAGCGTTGCACCTTCCTCTGTTACCACCTATTCCGGTTCCTCACCTCTGATTATTCCTCTCTATGGATTTCTCTTTATATTCATCTCTAAAATATCCTCTGATATTTTGTCCGAAATAGTTCTTATGCTTCAATGGGTTTTAACATCAAGTTGTTTTTTTAGGTAAGTACCGGACATTCCTTGAAGTATAACATAAAAAAATATTGATCTTTTTTTAGTTCTGATGGTTCTGATTTATTTTTTTTCCTTTATTTAAATGCGGACGTTAATTATTTGGATGCTTTGGATCTATTATTTGAATGTGGAATTTAATTTATTTTATGCTGTGGCCCCTCATACTCCTCCTTTATCGGTAAGTATTTAAAATTAACCCAAAATATAATATTTATGTATTTGTTTATTAGGATTTCCAACTTCTGATTTATTTTATGGCATAGGAACCGAATAAACCTCTGCTCCTGCTTGGTTTCTTTCCGAATATCCTTTTTGGATGTCTTAGAAGTCGGAGCATCCTTTTATCTCATTTTTATTTATCTATTCAACAAGAATTTATATTACTTATTTTAGAACATAGTAAGTATTTCAATCTAACTTGAAGGATTATTATAATATATATTCTCTGACAGCTGTGGAATTCTTCGGATCTCGGGTCTTCTTGTTGCATAATTTAAATGCGAAATTTAAATTTGGGATTCTTTCATTTTTTCCTCCAACTTCTTTGCCGTAAGTACTGGTCATTTGCTTTTGAATGGATTTTTTCCGTAATTATAAATATTAATAACAAATATTATATTCTATTTTTCTATATATTCTGCAGGTTCTTTTTTTTTCTTTGGTTGGTTTGTCAGAATACTTATATTTCTTCAAACAATTATGTGGATGACTTGGCATTTGTGAGTATTTAATTTTTAACAATTTTTTTTTATTATAATTTATATTTCAATTATATATGTATATTTCCTTAGCTCTGAATACCTCTGCTTCATTTTGTTTTGGTGACTTGTGTTCTGTTGCTGCTGATGTTATTGTAAATCTTTTTAGCTTTATTTTAAAATGCTTTCCGTAAGTAAAATATCTGTAAGCTTTAGCATCTGTAATATGGGATATATTTCACAGATAAACCATGGGATCTTGGTGCTCTCCTGTTGTGATCTTTGGTCTTATTTTTTTTGGTGCAGATCAACCATGGGATATAGTTATACATTTTTATATTTGTTTATGAGGCTCTGAATCTTGCGATTTATTTTATTTTAATATTTGGGCTCTGGAACTGCTGATAGTGTTGTTCGCATACCCCTGATGCTGTTTGGATTTTTTCCGTAAGTATGACCAAAATTTAACATTTTATATATACACGTAAAAGAAAAATTTGTTAGATATCGAGCATCCTTGGCTCCGTTCTTTTTCGCTTCCATTATTAAATTTTTTTTTGAGCAATTATATTATTGTATTGCAATTATATTATATTATTGTTATATTGTACATTAATGTCTACAGCCCTCAATGACTCTTATTTTTTTCCGTTTGCGAAAATCAATTTTTCCCTTCATTAAATTTATGTTATAATTTGGGCTACATTTTTCCTCCAATTGTTCCTTTTTTTATTAGTCTTTGTAGCTTCTGTTTAATTTTATTGCCTTGGCCTCTGCCGGATTCTGATATTTCCCATGCCTATACTCCTGCTTAGATGCTTTCCGTAATTATAAATATTATTTAAAATTATCTCTTACATATTTTTCCTATTTATATTTTGCAGTTGGAATGCAAGAATTTAAGCGTCGAAGCATCCTGGGTCTTATTTCCTTCTTTAGTTTTATAAACAGTCTCTTTCAAGCTGTTTGGCCATTTGTATGTATTGCATTTTGAACTTGAAGCATTATTTTTTTAAATTATATTTGTGTCCCACCTTATAATAATTAGCTGCTTCACTTTGTTTTTGTTCCTTGGGCTTTGTTGCTGCTGCTGATGATTTATGGTCAATTTGTCAATATTTTTTTAGCTTCATATTTAATAGCGTGCCGTAAGTGAAATGCTTATAGACTTTAGAATCATTAATGTAAAGTCAATTTCACAGATCATCCATGGTATCGTGGTGCTTCTTCCTCTGGATTCATCATTAAACTTATTGCCCATTTTTTATTAAAATAACTCTAATTTTATTGGTTGGACATTTTTGTATTTCAGCAAAAAATTAAATAACGTGAAACATTTATAATTCCTCAAACATGTATAATCGTTAATATAATCGGCAGTGTAAGCGTTACTGGCAGTAGACAGTAGGCAGAAACCTAAAGATGGAATGGGACAGTCACTTTAATCTTCGGACATTATGTATGCGAGGCAGTCAGGTTCCTATCTTGCATCTAACAATTAGCCTTCCGTAGTTTAGGCGGAAAAACAGATCTTACCTGTTCTTTCTCTAGCGAATATGCAATGTTTTACATATTACGTATACGCCCTGATTTAGCTCTTCGCATGCTATCATTATTGTTAAGAGGCTTAATTGAAAATCTGATCCGATTGGCTTTTGTTGAAACTTTTCATTTAAATTTAGCGCCCTTAATTCAAAAAGGGAGCTGTTTTGTGTGCCATATTCTAGATGGGGTTTGTTTTGCAGATTAAATTATTAAAATATTGATAGACTACTCTCTTATTTTCTGGATATCTTGACTACATTTTGTTATTTAAAAAATGTAGTTCTATCATTTGAAAGTGGCGAAGGGTGGGATATTTGAAACTATTTTTTCGCGCCAAAGACCGGAAGAAAACTTTCAAATAACTTGGCAGCACTGTCTGCCAGAGCTTTCTCTCTGCTTCCTTGGTGCTCTCATGGCGGCATGCGCTCTCTCTGAGTCGCTGCAACCCGCTAGCTTTTTAATCATGTGCCATGCTTTGGTTCTCTTCCTCTTCCTGCTTTTTGGCACCTCTGTCGCCGCAGCCTCCGTTGTTGTTTCTCCTGCTGCTTCTTCTTCTTCATCATCTCGGCACGCATCGCATCGGATTGGCACGCAGTGATGGCAGCTCAGAGGCTTATGTTCCAATCTGGCTGACTTGTACCATTATTAGTTTCTATATTTAAATATAAATGGTTTAAAAATAACTTATCTAGGCATTCTGAAAATATATACAAATTAATTATTCCTTGTAAATAACTTGTTTTCCTCGCACAAGATCTTTCCTATAAGTATGCAATGAATTATTTTGACCTTTTAACTTATTTTTGTGATCCAAAAATATCAAGAGTGAATTATCCTGATTATTAAATTTTACGGTAACTAGGGTTTATAATAGTTAGTTATAAAATTTCAAAAGTTTGTAGCGTTTTGTAGAATTATTGGTACATGAAATCCTTTATTTCGTAAAAAGTTTACATCACAAGCCTAATAATTATTATAATCGGTATAATTATTTATATACATGCATATGTAGTTTATGAGGAAAGTACCGGATATCATACAGTAAGAAAGTCTTACTGATAATTCCTTAGCTTTAGACTGGAACCTAGTGGGGCATCACTGTTGATTCGGGGACTCGCGAAAGGCGCCGACGACAGCGAGGACACGACGCAGCAGAGGCGGCAGCAGCGTCAGCGGTAGGCACCGCAGTGGCAGTGGCAGTCGGAAAATCGCAAGCAGCAGCCACAGTCGCAGCCGCAGTCGCAAGCAGAGCAGCAAGCAGTTGCAAGGGCGCCGCCTCCGTCGAGTTGAGTTCTACTTCGATTTGATTTGCTTTCTCCGCATTTCTCCGCCTTTCTCCGTTTCCGCTTTTTACGCACTAGAAACGTGTCCTGATTTCGCACCACAATAATAAATAATAATAATAATAATATAATAAAAAGAAAAACAGAAGCATCAGCAGCAGCAGCATCAGCAGCTGAAGAAGAAGAATAAGAGCAAGAATTACTAACAGCAGCAGTAGGTGGTACTACAACGGTAAATTGCAGTGTGCGACGCGTGTGCCAAATTCCACTTTCTATATTTGCGAATTACTCTCCTTTTCTCTATTTTGTTGATTTAACATTTAAAATGCCAAAGAGCTGCTGCTGTTGCTTTCTTTTTCATTTTTAATTTGACATTTTTTTGCCAGTGTGTGTGTGAGTGTGAGTGGTGTGGTGTGTCAGTATTTTTTTTGTTGTTTTTTTTTCGGTAAAGTGCGCCAAAAACAAAAAAAAAACGGGAAAGAAGCAAATAACAGACGAAAAAAATTAACAATTGCCTTAATTAACGGTTGTTTTCCCACTTGGGTCGCAACAGGCCCCCATGGTGCTATCTCTCTCTCTGTTTCTCTATGCCTATCTCTATCCCTACCCCCCGCTGCAACTCCCTTTTCAACACCCATCTCTTTCTTCAACTACGTCACACGTATTCGCAAATGGGTGTGTAAGGTTGCCTTAGGCAGTGTTCACTGTTGTTGTTGTTGTTTTTGTTTTTGTTCCTGTTACATGCTTGCATCTGTGTGCGTGCGAGTGTGTGTTTATGTGTGCAATAAAATTTCATAATGGTTGTTGTAGCACCCACCCGCCCCCCTCCCCTCGACCTAACCCACCGCAACATTTTTTTCGAAAACATAAAAAAGTACTTTTAATTAAACAAAAACAACGATGTTTAGCCCAAGACACATGTTAAAAAATATATATTATAATATACATATGTGTGTATAAAAATAGTTTGAAAGCTATTTTTTGGTCGGAAAGCCAGAAGAAGTTGAAAAGCCCCAAGAAAAATGGAGAAACTTCCGCTGATAAAGTGACCCAAATAAGAGAAACCACCAATTTTCAAGAAACTTTATCCAACACAACTAAAAAAATGTTCAAAAGTTCAGTAATTAATTTTAAAAGTATATTCATTAAAAGGCAATATTTATAAATGTATCAAGGCACTTTTAGAATTGAATTTTAAAGGAATCAAAGGACTAAGAAATTGGTTTTAAACTAAATAGCATTATTATTTAATAAAAAATATAAATAAATAAATAAAATGAGTGTTAAAATAAAATGTCAATTTAAAAGGTTTTCCAATAAAGGATATTAAATTTAAAGGTCTTAAAAAAATAAATAATTTAAAACATATTTTGTTCGCCTATTAAATATTAACAATTTATAACCTCTTCGGTAAAAAATAAAAAATACATACAATAGAATGTGTCATTTTGCGACGACCCATTATATATTGTTATTTTTATTTTTCGGAATAGTGGTTAAGTGGCAAAGAGAGTCACCGCCCACTTGGCCTGCACCGCCCCCGCTTCGGGTTCCCCTCCCACTTTTCTTATCGCCAAAGAGTCACGTTTTTGACCCATTTTCGCATTCTGTGTCGGGGGCCTAAAGCCAGTGTTCAAAATGTTTAGATGGCAGGGAAGCTGCTGCTGGATAGCTCCTCCTTCGTATATGTGCCTCTTATGGTGGGTCGTGTTCCTCTTGTTGCCCATTAACCCATGGTAGCCACTTAACCCTCGAGTGGCTCTCGCTGATGTAATGCCATTCGATTTGATTTGCCATGGTTAACCAGATTTGCTTGCCACAGCCATTCGGCATTTTGCGGCTCCTAGATTCTAGTCCTTACACTTAGAGAAAGATTTTCCTTTTCCTTGGTAAGACTAACTAGAGGTATATTTTTGTAAGTTATGCTTGGAAGAAATTAAATATTAAAGTTGTACTCTACATAACAAAATAAGAGAACAAAATATAACAATTACATTATTATTTTCTTTAAATCAATACTTACAAAAATTTTTTTGTGAGTTAAAAGCAATGGTTCAATGGTTAAGATTTTAAAATTACAAAATATTTTCGTATAAACGAAAAACACATTAAACAAATTTATAAATAAAATTAAAATATTCCTTTTAAAACACACTTTAATGTTGAAACAAAGATTCAAATATAGTGAAATTGGTTTAAATAATATATACATACATACATACCGAATAAGTTGGAAACCTAAAATGAAAGTATTATTCATATTTCCCCTCCCCTAACATCTCTGGCAGCTTTTGATTAATTCCACCAGTTCTCTCAGTGCAAATATGTAAATGTCGAATATGTGAGTCTGCAAGTGAGTGAGTGTGTGTGTCTGTGTGACACTGGTTGATTACTTGCCACATGAGCGAAGATAAGTCAGTAAGTTAATGGCCTCAATTTGCGTACGAGTCTAATTTGTTTGTTTTTTGCGGCTTCCATTAGTTAACCCATTGGTGCCCCACTGGGTGACCAGCATGACCGTGTTGCTCGGCAAATCCCTAGTCGCTGGAATGGACAACTGAATTCCCCGGTGTTTTCCCACTCGGACCTAACCTCACTTATCTTTATATAAACTCGTATACCGCACGTGCTTGGGCATGGACTAAAAACAAAAAGGATACTAGGAAACACGCAACAACACTAGGACCTACAAATAAAAAGAACAAAAAAAAAACACACCCAAACGCAAGAACAACGACTTGAATAACGGTGAGTACTTTTTAAAAAATGTTTTTAATAAAAATCAGGGAGTGATTCAGCGGTTATTTATGAAAAATATATATGTACATACTATATGTTTGTATGTATGTATGTATTTTACATTTTCAAATACTTATTTGAAAAATTTTAAAAAGTTACGTTTTTGAATTTTATTTAAAGTAAATATATATTTTTGTGAGATTAAAATTTATGTTAACCTTAAAAATATTTTATGTTTTATTTACAAAAAAAAAAACATGTTTATATGTAAAGCAGTGGTCGGAAAAACCTATCCCGTGGGCATAGGAAATTTCTCCGCCCGAGCTCTGCCACACACACAGTATAAGTGTGTGAAACGTCATGCTTACAGCCTACTTTCTGTAATTCGTTACTAATATAGATGCGTTGAAATCATATCAATGTATTGCGTGCCGACCACTGATGTAAAGTAATTATGTATGAGAGTCACTGGAGATATTTTAAGCTAAAAATAATAGTTTAGCGTCTCCATTTCGCTTGAAATCAAAGAAGAAACATTAATTTTTGACTATGTATATAACTGTAACTATGTACATACATACATATCAATCAATAAAATATCACTTTAGTTATTAAAATTTTTTTTTTAAAGCCAATGAAAATGTTGTTCAAACTCAGAAAGATTTTGAAACTTTTTGTGAAAAAATTAAGGACAGGGCCAATAAACAAACATTCTTATATTTTTAAAAAAGTATACACATTTTAGTGCAATTTGCTGAATAACAATAAACCCTTGTACTCTACGAGTATAGGCATTTTAGTCTCAATTTTACATTTTAGATCTGTTTCCACTCGCTTACACCCGTGTTTAAGTCAGCATTTAATTGATTTAAATTGTATTTCATGCAGGTAGCCCATTGGTTGGGACTTGATCCAAACTGGCCCATCAATTTTGGTTTTCCTACCCGCCACCGGGCGCTGGCGGCGGTTCCTCAAGTAAGTCTTACGGTTTTCCGCATGCTGTGAATATTATTACAAATATTTAACCCGGGAATCGTAATACCCCTTCCAAATATATCGATCCCATTTGTGTTGTTTGTCCCTTCGGTGTCTATATAATCTGATTGATCGAATATAATCGAAACCGATCGAATATAATCATAGTCCATAGGAAGTGCGAGTATTTTTTGTTCTATTCGTATATAAATATATATATATATATTTTCCTGGTATGACTAGGCCATCCTGTGAGTCCTCTCTCTGTATATCTATTTGTAATTTATAATCGTATATATGTATCCTATATATATATGTCTGTATGTGGAACGTTTGTTAACAAGAGATTCCTCTCCTTATATAAAAACCTAGATCTGTAAGCATTTACGTACGTATCTACATATGTCCTTAAAGTATCTTATATTGTGTAACCGATGATTTGCGTTTCCTTTTGTTGTTGATATTACTGAGGTAAATCGTTTTGGTCTCATAGTCCTAGTAAATATATACCATTTAGTAATTTATAATGTAGATCGGACCAAAAACGAAAAATCTAGACCCAGAAGCAAAGAGAGATTAGAGCCTACAAGTTTTTTTTTGGATTTCTAGGAAAAGATATTAGAATCATCAGTATAGCTAGAGATAGGAAACCAAAAACTTTAAATGGCTTTACTATTTTTATAAAATTTCTATAATGAATTAATAGTATTTCAATTTTGTTGGCTAGCCTTTTAAATAAAATATGATCCGCAGATTTTATTTCCATTAAAGTACTAATAATTCTAGATTGGTTTTTTGTCATTCCTTTCTTTGCTCTTCTTTGATTGTATTCTCTTCTATTTTGTACACTGCAACAAAACATCTGTTGTAGCCAGTTTCAAGCGCATAAGGAATAAAGCATAACAAATACAAAAAACAAACAAAAATAATATCTGAAGACATTAATTGAAAACATTTAATAAACATCCTGAGATTGAGATCGTTTCCTCTCTCTCTCTCTGTCTCTCTTTCTCTGTCTATCTCTCTCTATCTTGGTCTCTCGCTGTCTCCTTCGCTGTCTCTATCTCTTTCCCCAAAAAGACACACACAAACACTCCGCACTCACCCAACGGTACTTCCAACGGACTCCAATTCCAATCGTTTCGGTACGTGCCGTGATCGCGTGTTCAAAACTATCGAAATTATTCAAATAAAATCGAATAGAAAAATATTGAAAGTAAATCGACACGAAAACTACAATAACAACAACAACAACAATAACAACATCATTAAAACAGCTACAACAACATCAGAAACACTTGGAGGTAAGGATTATAACTCTTTCTCGCTTTCACTTTTCCACACACACACATTCCACCATCTCTCTTTCTCGCTCACTCTCTCCTCCTTCTCTCTCTCTCTTTGTCTGTCTCTTTCTGGTCTCGTAGTTTTGGGTAAACTATAATATAGACCCCAGCCCGCCCCATACACCAGACCCCCCATGCTTAGTGAAGTTTTTATGAACTCCGTTCGATTAGTTCCGTTCCATTTGTTCCGTTCCAAGTAGTTTGTTTCGTTCCAATGTTCGTTGTTTCGCTCTCAGTTGTTCCCTTAGTTTTATGTTTTCTATTTTTTAGCTTCTGTTTTAACATTTTTATTTGTAGCGCTTTGAGTTTGGCAATGATGATGATGATGATGATATAGCGGTTATAATAGCGATGATGGTGATAATGACGGTGTCCCTGATGTGCACCAAACAGGTGAATGATGTATGAATGGAATGGGGTCAAAGGAAAGCAAAGTGCACTCATCGTGTGCGTAAACTTACCGCCTCCACGGTGTGCCACTGTGTGATATCCTTTGAAATTCTATAGCTAAATGGGGTGAGCGGGTGCGAGGGAAAATGGGAGCAAACATCTGAACCGTAAAGGCTCTTCAATGGAATAATTGTGGCTGGTTCAAAGGTTAAAGCAAAGGAGAATACAATGCAGAAGCATAAAATGCATTTTAAGTTCAACATTTGGGACAGCTCAAGAGTCTCTAGAAATGAAAAAACAAGCAGTACTTATTTTGAAAGTTTGTGAGAAAACGGTTAAGGAGACAACCGTTTGACATGTGTCAAATATGTAGAAGAAGCCAAGGCCAAAGCTCAAAGCTCGTTTACCAAAAATGCACAAGAAATAAAACTTAGCTCTGGAAACATTTGAAAATATAAAATTTTATAAAAAAGCCTTTATTATTATTGCACTAAATACTGTTTAAGCTAAAAATTAATTATTAATTCATTGACTTACGTTTTTACTTTGAGGATATCTTTAAATAGCTTTAATTTTTAAAGCTAAAAATTCATGTGTGGCGGTTTTTCAAAAATGTTTATCATGTTAGTATATCCTCTTAAAAAACGTTGGTCACACTTATGTTTATGTTTTCCCTTCTTTAGAGCTAAATACTAAAAAAGTAGAAAGAGAAACCTGTTTAGAGAAATGTCTTAAAAAAATATAGAAAACCAAGCCTTTTTTAGTGTGGCCGTCTCACAAAAATTTCCCTAGCTAAGGCCACACTAATATATCATTTTGTTGTTGTTTTCCTTGTCTAATTTTTGTCACACTTCTGGTTGCCACAAATAAATGAGCTTTAACACCTGATGGGAAATTCGCGACCTGCGAAATGAGAGCGGAGAAGACGCGACCGACCGACTAATTGGGCCGTGGTCAGTGTTTCGGATATAGTTTTAGTTTTGCTTCTGTTTTCAGTGTCAGTGTTGCTTGGGTCCTCGAGGTTGTTGGGTTGCTTTTCCATTTTTCCATTTTCCAAACAAACAGAAACAACAGAAACCAAACGGAAACGGAAGAAAAGCGGGAAAATGTCACCGCCACGACTAAGTCGCTATTTGATGGCCGTTCGTGGGCGTGAGGGGGAGCGTAAGTAGGCGTTCGGGCGGCTGGGGGCGTGGCCTTGAAAAGAAGTGTCCCTGTATGTGTGTGAGTGCGTGTGTGTGGGAGTGGGTGTGGGTGGTGCTGTAGTTGCATGCTGCCATGCTAGTTTTCTATTTGCCATTTAGCACTTTTCACGTTTTTCACCAGCAGGTGCATGAAATGCCAATTGACGGAGAAAGTTGCAATTGAAAAACCATAGAGAATCGATTAAAACGGCTTACCTTTCTTTGTTTTCTTCCCTTCTCTTTATCTCTCTCTTTCTCTCTCTGTCTGTCTCTCCTCCCTTTTCTCTCTTTCTTTCTCTATCTCTTTCTTGCTCCGGATAAAAACAAAAACAATTGTTTTTTTGTATTTCTTTGAATCTATTCTATATATTCCCCATATTTAGATAGTAAAAACTCTCAAACGGACGAGGAAAAGCAGCGCGATCGACAGCGAAACGAACGTGAGGCGAGAAAGGAAGAGCAGGACGCCATTAACTACAAGGTGAGTGTGTGGGTGTGTGCGTCTATCCCCGTCTCTTTCTCTCTCTCTCTCTGTCACTCTCTCTCTACTGTGTCACTCTGCCAACTAAGTCGCGCTCAATTCGGTATGTGTGTGTGTGTCTGTGTGTCTCTTCCCAAAAATCAAGCGCGTAAAAATTAATAATTAGTAATTAAATTCGTATAAAAAAAAAATTACCAAAAAGCAAATAAATCAAAAAAGCAAAAAAAAGGAATGCAACAGTGATTTTGTAAATGCAACAACAATTACGATGGCAATGCGATAACGTTATAACCAATTAACCTGATTGTAAGAATGCACTTTGCGACAATTGCATGCAAACAGCGCGACAAGGAGCAACGCGAGGCCCGCCTCCTGGACTTTGAGATCCGCCGGCAGCAGAAGCGCGACGAGCAGCAGCAGCAGCGCCAGCAGCAGCAGCAACTCCAGCAGCATCGCGAGCACCAGCACCAGCAGCATCGCGAACAGCAACTGCAACACCAGCAGCAGCAACAGCAATCCAGCGAGAAGAGCCCGCCCACCTCATCCACTTCCCAACAGCAGCAGCATCAGTTGCACCTACAGCAGCAGCGACAGCAGTTGCATCTCCAACAACAGCATCTGCAGCAACAACAGCAGCAGCAACAGTCGACGGGCAGCGGCAGCAGCAACACCCCCGTCACCCCCAAATTGCAGACCCCGCCCCCCGATCGCTCGCTGCCGCCCGCCTTCCGGAGTCGCTCCATCGAGCGGGAGATCCTCTACGAACGGAAACGATTCTCCCAGCCGGACCCCGGCGAGATCAAGGTGTCCCACCACCCCCCACCACCAACCACCTTCACATTGCACCCTCACCCTCACCTGCAACCAGTAACCTGTAACCTGCAACATGCAATCTGCAATCCAAACCCCGCTCCCCTTTCAAAATGAGGTGGAGAAAAATCGTTGACAGTTTCCATTCGATCGAACTTCCACGATTTATTAAACTTAATAGGATAACAAAAGATATTATATTTTTATTAGATTATTATTATTATTATTAGATCTAAATATAATAAAGATTATTATATTTTTTAGTTTATCAAAATAATTATAATTTAATTTTGTTTTAATATATATATATTTAACTTAATTATTCTTAAGAGTTTTGTATTTTATTTAAAATGCATGTTTTAAGAGAATTATTAAAAAATGTTCCCCAATTAATTCTAGTAAATATATTGATATTCTTTTTTTAATATTTATTTTTAATTTTTAAATTCATATGTTTACATATTTTTAATGCATATAAAAACAGGACTTGCGGTTGCACTTTATAAGCTGTGTAAAAATTTAAATTGTTTTCTGTATATATATGAATAATTCATGTATAGTATGTATTGCTTGCTTGATAAAAATTATATATTTATTTATTATTTTTGTACATGAAACTTTACACTTTTTATTTTATTGAAATGCAAATACAAAAATAAATAAACTTTTCGTCCCCCTTTTTGTATTTTCCTTAAAATTTCTGAAACAAACCTTGAAAATAAATGTAAATACCTGTAGATTGCAACTTTTACACATGTTGTTCTTTGTTAATTTATTATATTTTTCTTGTAAATGTGATTATAATTGTGCCATAAAAACCCGAAATTAATTTATGCAAACGATCACTGTGTCATTGATTTTTCTTCAACTCCAATAATAACGGTTTTTTAATAAAATATATTCATTTGATAAATGTCTAAACAGGAACTCGAAAGCACAACATCATCATCCTCCACGCAGCAGACTTTTCCCGGCAGCGCAGCTCCAGCGGGCCGAACAGCGACCGCAACCGCGACAGCAGCAGCGGCTGGAGGAGGAGTGGGCGGAGCCGCAGTAGCGGTAACTGGAGCGGGACAAACGACGACGACGACATTGGCGGGGCCGCCGGCAACGGCCGCAGCTGCCACAGCTGCTATTATCCCGATCTTGCCGCTTGGCGTTGCCACGCTGCGCGATGATTCCACCGAATCCGACCAGTCTGTGGCATGTGCCCACCAGCACCACCAGCTCGATGCCTACCATCGCATCATGTGAGTATTGCTTCATTTTTACTCTAACAACTAGTTTCATTAGTGGGTACGATTAAAATAACGGTATGGGCTTGAAGCTTAGGTTGGACGTCTTTAATCTTTAAAATTTCATAAAATTAAAATGTGAAATAACTAAAAACTTAAACACTTTAATAATATAATAGCAATCATATAACTTTCAGAAGTCTTTCAATCAGAAATTTTTAATGTTCTATATTATTGAAAAACTAAGTATGCATAAAAAAATATTCCGATTAAAATTATAACAACTAAAAAGGAAATGTAGCTATAATACAATATAAACAGCTAACAAGAACTCAGAACAAGGCCAGAAATAAAGCCATAAATTCACTTAAAAGCCATAAAAATAAAAACTCAAAAAACACCAGATTACATTTTTAAATCTGTTTTAAAAACCGATCCTATTTAGTTGAATTAGGGAAAATGACAAAATAAAGATAATTTTGGCTTGTACTTTAAAAATTGTATAGAAAAGATTTTATTTTAAGGCACTAAGTTACATACACAAAATATCTTACATTATTCCTCTGAAATAGAAGCTTCAATTTATAAGACAACTTATTTTTTTGTTTGTCGCTTGTCTTTACTTTATGGAAGCTGAGCTCGTTAGCATTAAATTAAGCAACCTTTGGCCTGAGGTCAGCGGTGACTTTACGAATTTCCCATTTTGTTGGTGCTCTCAATGTTTTGAGTTTCGTTCTCTCTCTCGCACTCTCTTTTATCGCGGGAAAGCTTAAAAATGCATTCAAGGTGTGCCCGCTTTTTTAAAAATACTTTTAAAAGAAAAACTGAAAAAAATAAAGAAATAAACGGAAAAGCTTTCGCCAAGCTAAGAAAAAACTATAAATCTGAGAAGTGCATTCGGGTTTGCCCTGAAATGTATGCTTTAAAAATTCACGTTGAATGTAGAAAGCATGTAGATAACATGCGAAAATCACGTATACGCCATGTGGCACAGATTGCAGTTGCGATTGCATGCTGAAAGATGGCGCCAGATATGCACCGTATGCGAAAGCATTTAAAGAATTTTAAATCTATTAAAAATAGTTTTATAAATACGATTAACAAATAAATATTAAATAAGGAAAGTTAACTTGCACATAAGACCGAATATATGTAAATCGCAAGTATCGGATATGGTTGGCTGATCCGTATGTGAATTGTATTATAAAACCAATTTATTAGGATACAAACTTAAAAAAGAAGCTTCCCAAGCTTCTTTCTATAAAAAACCAAATTTGGTATTTTTACCAAATTCCAATTATGGCAATTATAGGATATAGATGGCCGATCCTTATGAAATTCGGATCGGATCAATTGACTAAAAATAGAATGTGTTGGAAGTTCCAACTTTCTTTCTTTAAAAACACGAAAGTTGGGTGATTTCCGATCGTTCAGATATATGGAAGCTGCCAATCGGACCGGCAGTCTATATCCTATAGCTGTCGTGTAACTGAACGATCGAAAATGGTATTTGGCAAAAACATCAAATCTTCTTTACTTAAATAACTCAGACTCCTAACGGAATGGGACTCTGTGGGCTCTTCGTACTCGGCCTTTAAAAATTGATTCGCCTTCGAATTTAAAAGATTTGCTTGCAGTTCACTCAATCGTAGTAGTACCTATTCCCCAGAAACCCCCCTTTAGATATGCTTTCATATAGTACTTCTAAAGATTCTTTTTGAAACGAATTTTTGACATAGAAGAAACTTTATTGTATAGAACCAATAGAATAGTTTTCTCATCGAATGCAATAATAATGGGATACAACTATGAATGATAAATAATTGAAATATCATGCATATTTGGGACACGCTTGCAGCTTTTAACAGAAACCTTTTGGAAAGCAAAGTTTTGCTCCAACTCCAGACTGACCTGTAGGAGCCAAATCATAGTCATTTTGTCCACCAACCTGCGTATCTTCTTCGACCAATCGAATCAATCATTTTCGTTGGTAGAGCAAGGCCCTCAAACTTAATTGTTAAATTGGCAAATTACAGGCTGTCGCCATGGTCTCAGGCCAAGATGTTTAATTTTTTATGAGGACCAAGTCCCCATTAGAGGGCAGTGCAGTTGCGTTCGCTTCCACCTTGACCAAAGGACTCCATTGTGTTTGATTTGTGCCCAGCCTGCAGTCTGCAGTCCACAGCTCCGGCAATCGGATCGAAGGACAGTCCCCACATATATATAAATACTTATATATTTACACAGAAGCCCGTATCAATTGCCCTGAGTAAGTGACTTATAATTGAGGGTGCCCTGGGGAATTAGTGTCGTCTGAGTGGCACTAAGTGTTCTTTAATATTCCAATAAGTGCGTTTTTTTGCTGTTTGCTACTGCATGCATAAGTGTGTTAATATTGTGTACTTGAATATTACTTGTATGTGCAGTATGTGGTTGTGGTGTTTGCAATGGCCTTTGGCAAATGACATCTTTGCGTTTATCCATTATTCATTATTATTCTGAGAGGGGCAGGGGGTGGTGGCCATCGGCGCCATTTGTGCAACATTTGGACCCGTTCCAGTTCGCTTCCCAGGCCCGATGCATTAGCCTTGCTGGTCCTAGGCGCTGATTGCCGTTTTCCAAATGGGGCCGGACCATTGCCGCAAAAATAAAAGCAAAAACCAAATATCTCTCTCCTAATTTTTCATTTTTTGTCGTCCTCGTAGCTCGAAGGCTAAATCTGAAACTTAAAGTCTGGTTGACTCATTGGCTACGTTATGGCTGGAACAATATAATTTTTGTATTCATTGTTTTATCATTTAGTAAATAGTATAATCATATTTTTAAAAGCTTAGTGATCAAAAAGTGCTATTATTAAAATTTAAATATTTAAACAATATATGACAAAGAACATTTACAAAAAGAGGGAAACAAAATTAATAACAATAAGATGTGCCTATTTTTAAAGAAAAGAATCAATTTTCTATTGACAATCTCTCTTATTAATTGACTCAAGCCCATAAAAAAGTTGTACACAATACGGGACATTAAACACATATATATTAATCCATAAAAACAAGATAAAATTTGTGTCTTAAACGCGACTTAAAGGCCTTCGAGAGATACAAAGTGCTGTCGCGTGAAATTTCCGGTTCCGGCAAGCATTTTATTGCACTCGAAGTGAATTTATATTGCCTACTTAGGGGGGCGGCCATAAAACGCAACTCCTAAAGATATCGGTGTTTCGACCCCGATGCCTTTCCTGTGGCAACTTTAAAGATGCCAAAAAATACTAGCAATGATCAATCTTAGGTAAAATATATATGTATGTGTGTATGCGCCAGTGTGTGTTGGCTGCATACAAATAAGTGTGCCCTGTGTTCGTGTGAGTGAGTGTCTGCATTCATCCTGGGGCACAAAAAAAGTGAAAAAATTAAGGGAATGGGAGTGCCATGTAGGCCCCAGAGTATAAGCCGAAAAGGCAATCTCATAAAAAACACGCACTGCCATCCATCTGTAGTACCACACACACACACATTCATACAAATATAATACATACATTCACGGTTGAATTGTCATTGCACTACACAGGAAACAACTTTTGTATAAAACGGTAGGTTTAAAAAAAATACTTATATGAAAATTTCAAAGAAAATTTAAACTTAAAAAAAAAATATATTTCATTGAAATATTGAATTTTTTAAAACAGCTTTTTCAGTCTAAACCAACATTAATTATTAAAACAAGATTTTCCTATTTTGTTTAATTATAATCACCCTATCGTTAATATTTAAAGTTAAAACCAAATTTATATTTTAATATATGCCTTGTGCTTTTCTCTCAATGTACTCCCTCGCATGAGGAATAAAGAAACATGCCGGGCCAATTTGCAGCCCAAAAAGCAACCGCAAGAGGAGAATTTTAGCGGGAGGTAAA